AAAACGGATTTTTCGAGCAGCTCGGAGTGCTCTTCAGAAAATCCCCAACGCGATTATCTCATGAATCCCGAAAACTTCATAAACAAATTAAGTGGTTTTTGGAAAGAGGAAATCTTCTAATATTCGACACTATTTTAGATTTGCAAACAGTTGGGTTTCAAGGAAAATATCTTCATTCAAACCAAGACAGTTTGCATCCAGTGTCGACAATCCCCAACCAGTCAATTTTTCTATTTGTTCTGTCTTCACATTTGCGACCTTCATTAACATTTCACTACTTTTCGAGAAGCGTTATGGCCCTTCCAAGACAAGTTGTTTTACCTGGAAAAACGCGCCCCATTCCAACCACCTTGCGGCGTTGGTCCTGCCCAGAATCCCTTCAATCAATTCCTCGGCCGTTTTCCAGCTGACTGCGGCTGTTCCTGTGTCCTTTTTGTTTTGTTTTCTGATGAAAGTATTCTCTCCCACTGGTGGGCCAAGCGATTAATCCGTATCAAGACGTTCGCCATTTCGGCATTTCTGCATTTCTCCCAATTCCGCTTCTTTCTTAAATCGATACATATACGTTGTACTGTCCGCAGTTTCGTCTTTTCTTCCAAGTTGTCAAGCATGAATGCGACCTTAGGCTTTGTAGGGTGGGGAGGGGGGAGGATCAGCACATTCGCTATTTCACATCCTCGTATTCATTGCTTCACAAAAGTTGACAGGTATTCCTCCAAACTTTGAGTGGTATCACTTTACGTATCCACAACCTAGAGCCGCCACATAAGTATGCCTAGCTTGAGCTCGAAAAAAACAAGGAGTAAAAAAGGGGGTGGGTCGTAGCGAACAACCCAAGAGGGGGGTCGTACGAGTTCAACCCAACCAATACTGTACCCTATGCTGTATCCAGCTCAAATTATTCTCTGTTCGGCTCTAATAACAAGAGGTCAGTGTCAGTTCACTGGATTTTTCTGCCGGACTTCTTGTCAATTAGACTGATATTAACAAAGACTTCTCAGAAAAAAACTCGAAGGCGAAAATAATGTGACTCAGTTTTCAAGGAGAAAGTTATACTTAAATCATGCAAAATGTAATCTAGCGTAAGTAAAATATATTTAGGTCCTCTTATTAAAGTGGAGCGAAGAATAATGTCAGCTCTTGAAAACTGAATAGTGCAGAAGTCAGCTAACTAAGCCATTGATCAGCGAAAGTTTTGACAGGAGAGTGAGATAGCGGGCCGGCGAGTGTATCACTGTAGTCAGTAGTCGACGTCAGAGAGCACTGAGGCATACACCCACACGTAGCCTTTGGATCGCTCGCCAAGGTGGATGGAGGAACTTCCGCGGAGAACTCGAGTATGGCATCCACATGGCCACGCATAACGGTAGGCGCTTTAAGGGATCGTTAGACACACTATCATGACGTGACTGACCTGAGTTCAAAGATTTTGTGATCAAAAACCCATACAATACATTGATACGTGGATTCAGAGTGAGATGAAAAATTACCTTGATTCCGGGATACACTTGCAGAGCTTTTTCGACAATCTGCTGTTGTTTTGTGTTATTGGACGGATCAACCAGCAGAAAACGACCATTTTTGATACGGGAGATCATATGCGGGACTGTCAACGTAACGTAATGAGCACATCATTAGCACATTACTCCGTCGCAGCTCGGCGACGGTTGGCGGGCATTTTACACTTTCGCTGCTTCACTAGTTCCGGTTTACAAGTCTCACTCTGGTGAAACCTGTGAACTCTTGTGAAGCTGGAACAAGCTCATCAAGCCATGATGGTGAACCTTGAGGAGAGGCTGTCTGGATGGGCGGACTTGATGGGAAGTAGCAAAAGTGCGAAATGCAGCCCCCCCCCCTCCTCCCGTCACCAAACTGCCTCTATTACTCCATGAAGAACACTAATGCAAGATCATCAAAACTCACTTTCTATGAGTCGATTGTGTGTTGAATTATTGACGTTACTGCGTAGTACGTATGCATTTAGCGCTAGTAAACCCAATGGTATGAGAATCTGAACGATTGCAACACTACTTTGCACGAGCTTATTAACATTCTCCTACTCTATAAAGGTTTAACTATAATTAAATAAATAAATAAATAAATAGATAGATAAACAAATAAATAAATATATATGTATATTCATTTATTTATATACAGAGCAGTAAAAAAGACACTCATATACATATACATGGGGGGCACTAAAAGGACACTTTTCTGCCTCGACTTTCAAGGCGACATAAAGTGCACATATAGACTGAATGGATATTGTCACCATCATATTCAGCGGCATATTGAATACTATCATGACGCTCCGACACAGCCTTCTGGTCAAGCTCCATCGAGAGATTCTCCCACGCGAAAGTGATTCGGTGCCTGAGCTCAGCGAGGTCGTTGATTTCCCCGCAACTGCAGACCACCCTGTTGGGCTTCTCTCGAACCCGGTAACTGGGGGGAGGGGTTTGGGTGAGGTGACCCACT